CTTTTAATTCCCATGGCCATTTTTACATTGTCAGAACAAACGACTATAAACGACAAAATCAAAATGCTAGGTCCGCTAAGTTACGTGTTAATCTCGACGCTAAAATATTTTTTCCTGGTGATTCATTGTAAAAGCATACGGCAATGCATTCACGTACTAAGTACCGATTGGCGTGCAGTCCAGCAACAGAATTATCGAAAAATTATGATTAAAAATGTAGCAAAAAGCCATATGTTATCCAAGATTTGTATAATGTTCATGTATTGCGGAGGCGTGTGCTTTCAGTCCGTAATGCCGCTTCTGACGCACACTACAATCGATAAACAGAATATCACTATTAAACCAATACCTTGCCCTGGATTCGATATTATTTTCGATTTACATTTTACTCCGATCTATGTATTTGTGTTTTGTGCACAATGGTTTTCCGGTATCGTACTGTTCAATGTCACCACGGCAGTGTGTTGCTTGGCAGCGATGTTTGTAGCTCACGCTTGCGGCCAAATCGAGATCGTGATGGCTCGAGTAGAAAATTTTGTGAAAAATGCACAAAGCAGTCGCATGAAGCAACGTATGGCAATTATCGTGAAACACCATATACAGTCATTGAGGTAAGTGCTTGATGCACACGTTGCGGAAAAAATTGTTTGTGTCAATTATATCCGATTATTTAAATTGAAAATTATATGAATTGCTTGATAAAGAATATTTACGATAAAAGAAAGACAACAAAATTGTTAACTTTTATAAATATGAAAATATTTTATTATTAAATAGTAATTTAATAGTAAAAATTTAATTTAATTAATAATTAAACTTAAATTTTATTAACTGTATTCAACAGTTAATAACCACAGAAAGAAAAAACAGAAAGTAATTTATTAAATGAAATATATAAAATGTACTATAAAAGATTTTGCAGATTTTCAGTCAATATCGATAATATTTTACGCGAAATATGTCTGGTTGAAATAGTGGGAACAACGTTAACTATATGCCTATTGGAATATTACTGCATCATGGTAATGTGTAAAAAATTTCAATAATAATTGCGATGTGAAAGTTGAAATAAATGATTCAACTCATTTTCATATCAAATTTTTTCATTAAATATGTATGGATATTTGACATATTTTATGTACGCATTATTTCCTATTCTTTAAAGAAATAAAATTTCGAAGTGTAAACACAAATATTTTTAATTTAATAAAAAATGTAATTATTAATATTATGTAATTATTAATATTATAGTAATGATTTAATATTATCTCAATCTCACAGGAATGGAATAATAATAATGGTATAGCAATTATAACATATTTTTTTCTATTAATATCGTTCGTTTTCAACGTTTTTACGCTTTGCTACATTGGCGAACAATTAACAAATCAGGTGTTTATACTGAAATTTTTAATATTTAATAATGAATTAAATTATATTAAATCTTAAAACATTTGAATATTGCTATATACATCACAAAAATGTATAATATCTCTAACAGTAATAAAAATTGCGTGATACATACACATAACATATATGTAAATTAACATATATATAAATTAAATACTTAGTGCAGCAAAGTTGGATTTGCTTCATATAAAATCGAGTGGTACCATTTACCAGGAAAAATTGCACTCGATCTTATTTTAATGATCAGCATATCACATCATCCGATAAAAATTACTGCAGGGAAAATAATTAATCTTTCGTTCTCAAGTTTTGGCTCTGTAAGTACTATTTGTCATCATTTCGAAGGTGAAAAAATGCAATAATAAAAAAATTTTTTAGCACATATTTCATACATTAACAGGTATTGAAAACTTCGATTGCATATCTAAACATGCTCCGAACATTCGTTTGATCCATGCAAGAGGATTTTTTAATCTTGCTTCATATCAATGAATAAAATAATATTCAGTAATTCCTTTGAAAAAAAGTTTATAATTACATTAAATATATTTCAAGATAATGTATATGATACAATCAATTTAATACACATAATCAATACATTAAATAAACATAGTCCTAATCAAAATTTTATAAAAATATTTTACGCTTATAATTTAACAAAGTCGCATCGGTTGCAATATATCATTAAAAATACGATCGAAATATTTACTATTTTCCATCATTTATGATGGTAAAGTTTATAATCTTCATTTATGTATCATATATGGAGTAAATCTGAATCTTAAAAGTTCGCCACATTTTTCTCGAAAATGGTTAGGAATAGATAGAAGACATCTATTATTAAAATTGTGAGATAAGTAGAGGAACATACTTTGATGACTTCGAGTAATCTTAAATGTCCTTTTCATACCACTAATAAAAAAATTTTTTTCAAAAGGAATGAGTATTTTTTACTCGTTCTATCAATAATGCTCAATGAGCTGAATAACTTTGCATTTAGTATCTTTTCGGAAATTCAACTATTACTGGGATATAAGTCAAAATAAGTCAGACTGCCATGATAGAAATATTAGCCAATCTTCATCATGCATACTCAGAAAAAACAATATCATTCTATCCATATCGTATATACTCAAAGAACTCTCGCTCAGAATGATTTTAACATAACGATCTAGTTCTGTAAATAAGCTCAAAATAAATTACAAAAAATTTTAACTTTTTTCGATTTTGTTATGATCAGATGAAGAAACATTTAAGAGATGGAATTATTAACAGGCACAATTTGCATTGTTGAAGCAAAATCAATCCATTGGATGAGAACTGTGGATCAACACTAATGAAATATTAACATTTAGGCAAAAATGATAGATGTTCGATTAATTAGACCATTCTTTTTTGAGGAATTTTTAACAATCGAGAAATTTATTCATTTTCTTAGAAATGATTTTCCAAATTTAGGAAGATATTCCGATGAGGGATAAGGATCGGCTTCAGTTAGATGATGCACAATCCTCTTTCGGTATAAATACAAAGCGAGAGCTCAAAAGAATGTTCCCAAACAAATGGATTGATAAAGGTGATCCTACGTTATTCTCTGCAAGATCATTCGATATAACATGTCTGAATTATCTTTGGCAAAGAGTGAACTATCTTATTTTCAACACCCTACCACTTCGGAAAATATGAAAGAATAAAAAATATTTTTCGCGAAATAATGATCCAAGAGTTAGAGGAAGTTCAAGCAAACTTTCTACGAAGACTAGAGGCATCTAGATTAAAATGGCGAACATTTATTGTAATAATAAAAAATTTGTTTCAAACTTTTAGTCCGACTTATTTTGGTTTATATCTCGACAATAGTTGAATTTTCGAAAAGATAATCTAATTGTTCAGTTCATTGAACATAAAAAATTGTTCAATTCATTGAATATCGATAAAATAAGTAAAAAATATCCCTTTCCATTAAAAAAATTGTTTTCTTAGTAGTATGAAAACAAAGCACATTTAAGATTTACTCGTGGTTATCAAAGTACCCCTTATTTATCCTACAATAATGCTGTTTTCCACCTATCTTTAAGCGTTTTCGAAAAAAACGTAGTAAATTTTTCATCAGACTCACCCTTATATATTTCTTAATGCAAATCAATTTGAAACAACATTAAAAACAAAATTGAATTTTTTAGTAATGCCATCTACACATCTGTTTTTCCAAACTTTTTATTTCATATTAACAATGAATCTTTACGTTTCTCGTATTTCACTTAAATATATTTTCAAAGAAATGAAAATACGATAGAAAATTATCTTAAAATCGCATGTCTACAAGAAATAACCGATGTGAATCGGCGTTCAACTTAAAAAAAAAATCAAAATAGTTAATACAATGCATTTTTACGCGTTTGTACTTTGTTATTTTGTTTATACAAACGGTAAGAAAATACCGTTTGAGATATAAACGAGAGAGTTAAATACGATCACATAATATTATATTTTCAAATTCTGTTTGAACACAAGAAAATCATTTGTAGCTCTGTCGATTTCATTATAACTCAAAGAAAATGTAGAGATATAGCGTTTTTCAATTTTAATCCTTTCGCCTTTTTTCCTCAATTTCTCATCAGTATTGTCATATTTAACATCATTATGTCGGCACGCTGCTTAGCAGATTCATCGCTCATATGTATGGCCACATAAACATTGTGATAACACGCGTAGAAAATTTTTTTAAGAAAAAATGCAATACAAAATTTGAGAAATGCATGGCGATTATCGTGTATCACGTGCGAACATTAAGGTAATTTTGTCTTGCTATCTACATTTTGTAAAACTACTTGTACGTTTCAATAATGTCTGCATGAGAAAGCCTGCGAATCTCTTTACCAAAAGATAATTAAATATAAAAAATTGACATTATTCGAAGTATTATCATCTGTTAAAAGAATTACGTTTTCATCTATTTCGTTAAAAGTATTTGACAAATGTCAGTTCATAATACCTGGTAGATCTTCTTCTAGTTAGCATCGATATACTTTTCGATATTATATAGTTATGTCTATTCAAGATATGGAAACGACGTTCGTAATATGCCTGGTTGAAATTTCTTGATAACGGTAATTAAATATTTCTTTTCAATACTGCTTTCCGTATCAACCAACAAAATAAGATTTATTAATCTCTATATTGAAAAGATTTATGCTTAACGCTAAATAAATATATTCTAAAACAATAATACACATGTTATTATCTTGTGTAATATCATGTAAAACAATAACGTATATCCAACATAAATCACATTTATTTTACAAAAATTACAAAAATTACAAAAATTAATCAATCACACATAGTTGAAAATTACATGGAAATAGTACAAGCAATTTTACATGCTATAGAAATCCCTCTGTTCAAGTAACAATTTAACGAAGCAATATTCCCCTCGACAAAATTGATTGTTCAAGCACACGCAAGCTACTTTTCCCCTTTCCTGTCCTGACAATGTTGAAAGCATCTGCGATTGTCATGCGCAATTTTTTATTATCATGCTATCGACGAAGCACATGCACCAGTCGCCTTCGCGCCATCGTGACGATAGTATGGCTAAGCTTAACATCCCCTGGTCGAATGTGAACAGTGAGAGGGATATAATCAAAGCGCTAATGTGGAATCGATGGATACTACGAATTCTCGGAATCTGGCCATTGGTTTATTCGAATACTACAAAGATCGAGAAAATATTAGCGACAATATCATTCGCATTATGTTGGTCCGCGCTCAGTTTTCTTTTGATTTCCATGATCATTGTTACGCTATCAAAACACAGTGCCACAAGCGATAAAATTAAAGTGTTAGGTCCGTTATGTTATGTGTTTGTCGTGACGTTGAAATATTTCTTCCTGATTCTTCATCATAAAAGCATCCAGCAATGTATTCGCATACTGAGTAGTGATTGGCGTACAATCCAACAAGAGGATCATCGAAAAATCATGATTAAAAACGCAGCGAAAAGTCATGTGTTATCCAAGTTTAGTATAATATTCATGTATTGCGGAGGCTTGTGGTTTCATGTCATGATGCCGTTTCTATCACATACTATCAACAAGCAGAATGTCACTATTAAACCAATGCCTTTTGCCGGCTTTGATAACATTTTTAACTTCCATTTAATGCCAGTTTATGTGTTTGTTCTTTGCGCGCAATGGTTTTCCAGCATCATATTATTCAACGTCACCACGGCAGTATGCTGCTTAGCAGCCATGTTCGTATCTCATGCTTGCGGCCAAATCGAGATCGTAATGGATCGCGTAGAAAGCTTTAGAAAAGGTGCACAAAGCAATCACATGAAGCAATATATGGCAATTATTGTAAAACATCACGTGCAATCATTGAGGTGAGTCTTGCATATTATTACGGAAATAATTATCTGTATCAGATCTGTATCATCTGTATTTCCCCCCCCCCCCATGTATATTATTTAAATTAAAAATTTATATAAACATAGCATAAAAAATATTTACAAAAGTAAAAATGTAAATCTTTTAATTTAAATTTTTATACAGATATATAGAAATATTTATAAATGAAAATTAATGTAAATTTAGCTCCTATTAACTATTCTCAATAACTACGTTTAGCAGAAAAAACTAATTACGCTTAGTGATTCTTTAATATGATTAGTTCTTGCCTTTAATTCTTTGTTGGATCTAAATTTTGAAATCAACCT